GTGTGGTGTTCTCAAGATTTATTTTAAATCATGGGTACATGTGCCTGTTTGGGGGAATGTACACATGAGTGCAGGGTGCACAGATGCCAGAAGACATTGTTGCCACCTCTGGGACTGGAGCTACAGGCAGCTGTGAGTCATCCAACACAGATGCTGGCTGATCTTTCAGGTTAACAAAACTTTACTATTAAAATATGCCATTAGTCATCATAATTATATAATGATTCGAGTGCAGTGTTTTATGTGATTCTCGACTCCCTGTGTTGTTCTAACACAGTAACTGGCAGTAACAGTAAGCATCATTTACAAACAGCCCTTCATATCCTATGAGGTGGCTATTACTATAGTCCTTAGTACATTCCAGGTAGGAGACTAAAGACGGACAAACCGTAGGGGTTAAGCTCTTGCATGGCAAGTGAAAGGCCCTGGGGTTTGGATCCTGGACTTGATGAAGAAAGAAAAACAGAAATCTTGAGGAAAATGGAGAAGTACCACAAGGAGACAAGAAGCTAACCAGGACTCATTCTGTAGCCACCAAAGACAAAGCAAAGCGTCAAGAGAGTCCATGACATCACCAGCCCTCACGCGTCTGCCTGGACATGCCTGGTGGTTTAATTAAATGACTTCATTCAGTCCTCAAGAGATTAGCATTATTATTCCCACTGACCCAATAGGAGGAAGGGCAGTTAGATAATTTCATTATTTATTCAACAAGTATCTATTAAGCATCAATTATGCACCACAATTTAGATTCACTGCTGGCACAAAGCAGTACAAAAAAACCGTTCACTTTCAGAGAATCTGTGCTTCCTTTTCTTTTTAAGATTTATTTCCATTTTTACGTGTACAGATGTTTTGCCTGCATACGTGTCTGTGTACCACATGTACGCCTGGTGCCCACAGAGGCCAGAAAAGGGCAGCAGGTCCCCTGGGGCTAGAGTTACTGTTTGCTAGCCATCACAGAGGTGCTAGGAATCAAACTGGGTCCTCTGGAAGGACAGCTGGTGTTCTCAACTGCAAAGCCATCTTTCCAGCCCTAGGACCTATATTTTCATGAAAGGAGAGAGGACATAAAAGAATATATAAGCCAACAATGACCTATGACTCACCAGGAGCCACGGTTAAAGGAGAAAAGGAAAGCAAGACACAGAAACCAGGGCTTGGAAGAGAACAGGTCAAGGCTCCCCAGTCAGAAAGTGTCAACCACCCAGAGACAAGGAGAATGACAGCCTGAGTTAAGAGCATTAAAGGTCATGGTGAGAAGAAGGAAACAGGAATCTTGCTGGAAAAGCTCAGTAGTAAACAAGGCTATTAAAATGGTTTCTGCCCAGAATCCGTGCTTGTGAGCATGTGGCCAGCCCGTTGAAGGGCAGCTTTGGAAACTGGCACTCCCATTTTGATGGATCCCTGAAGCATATGCTGAGTCAGGCTGACTCTCTGGGGTGGGCCTCTCTGGGGAGGTGCCCATGAAACAGCAAAGCCAACTAAGCACTAAAAGATTTTTCTTGGCCCTGAGACAATGCCCAGCCACAGGATGGGATCATTTGTCAAAGAGAGGCTGCGTTTTAGCTCCAGAGTTTATTTTTAAGTCAACATTTTAACTATAATTTAATCAGCAAATGGAAGAGTCCTGTCTCTATCAACGAAAAGCTTCCATCCAGCCAGTAGCTGACAGAAACTAAAGTCCCCTGAACTGTCTCTGTCTCAAGCCCAACAGTCAGTATGTTGTCACCAGTACTGTAATTTTGTACTGCAAATGACTTGTTTGTCTGTCCCCTCCTCTCCACACATTCCCCACCCCCACTGCCACCTTCAGTAAAGCTTCTATTATCCCTCACTGGAATAACAGAGGTTTCCTTCTGACCTCCCTACCCACTCCCTCTTCCCTAGAGCACTCGCACACAAGGTCTGGCCACTCACTGCCCTCTGTCCACTGCACAGAGTACAGGTCTGAGACGATGATTCAATCAATGGCTGCCAGACGGGTTAGATGGACAACATGGGCAGAGAGAGTAAAGGACGAACATCTAGCAGCGTGCAGAAGACTTCCAAGAGATGCACTCCCCAGTTCTCGCAGTGTCTTATGAAGGACTGAGCCTGGGCCCACCCCCTCACCCTCCACTCCTGCCACGCCCCATTCCTCCTGCTCCTCACACTCACTGCGCTCCTTCCAAGCTCAGACCTTCAGGCAGGATGTGCTTGTGCCTACCATGCTCCTCCTTCCCAACCCAACCCTCTTTGTCTCTGAGTTAACTCAGCTATCGTTTAGATACCACGCATGCGCCTGCCAATTGTGTCCGCCTTTTACATGACTTGTTGTGTAGACATAGGAAGCTCCCCAATTCGCAAGTCCATACCTTTAGAAGTAATTTAATAGTCACTTACTTCTGATGGTAAGTTCTGTGGGGGCAGGAATCAAGAGTTTTGCTCAACATTTATCTCTACAGCCAATCCCAGCACAGGATATAGTGTAGGTATGCATATATTTGATAACAAAATATTCAGCTCGGAGCCCTGCACAGCTGCCAATTTTGAAAGCTTATCAAGTGTGCACAACCTGTGCTCCTCCTTCTCCCTGAGGCATGCCACCAAACCTGCAGGCTGCAATGGATCTCACTTCTACAAGCAGGCACATTTCTTCCTTGAAAAGACTTAAGACCCAGCCAGCACCTGACTAATCCATAATTCAAAGAACCTGGACAGAAAGGGAGGAAGATAACATCTAACTGTGTTCAGAAAGCTTCACAGCGAATTGGGCCTTAGGGCTGACCTCAGATCTCAAGATTTACAGCAAGCCTCTGTATTAGGAAGCAGGAATATATACTGGTGGTATGACTGTCATATCCTGAAGCTCTTTTGAAAACAAAAGGTATATCCCAAGAGGACAACCCCGAGCAAAACAGTCTTCATGTCACACAATAGTTCTATATGCAGACACGGACAAGATGCCAGGAAACTCCCACACTATTGTATTAGTAACAGTCACCACCCTTGGCACCAGCATTATAAAGCGTCTTTCTGTAAGGTGTCAGGAACACACCAAAGACATTCTCTTACTTATCTATTCTTAATTATATGTATTCTGTTTGGTGACGTGCACATAAATGCAGGTGCCACAGAGACCAGAAGAAGGCATCAAACCCCCTGGAGCTGGAGTTACAGGCAGCTGTAGCCACCCAGGATGGGAACTGGAGCCTGAATTTGGGTCATCTGCGAGAGCATCAAACACTCTTTTTTGTGATTTTTTTAATTTAAATTAGAAATAAGCTTGTTTTACATGTCAATCCCAGTTTCCTCTCACTCCACTCCTCCCCTGCCCCCCAACGACTCCCTATCCCACCTCCTTTCTGCTCCCCAGGGAGGACAAGGCCTTCCATGGGGGATCTTTAAAGTCTGTCATATCATTTGGAGCAGGGCCTAGACCCTCCTCCATGTGTCTAGGCTGAGAGAGTATCTCTCTATGTGGTATGGGCTCCCAAAGTCCATTCATATACTAGGGATAAATACTGATTGATCTACTACCAGAGGCCCCATAGATTGCCCAGGCCTCCTAACTGACACCCACGTTCAGGGGTTCTGGATCAGTCCTATGCTGGTTTCCCAGCTATCAGTCTGGGGTCCATGAGCTCCCCCTTGTTCAGGTCAGCTGTTTCTGTCAGTTTCTCTAGCCTGGTCTTGACCCCTTTTGCTCATCACTCCTTCCTCTCTGCAACTGGATTCCAGGAGTTCAGTTCAGTTTAGCTGTGGATGTCTGATTCTACTGCTATCAGCTACTGGATGAAGGCTCTAGGATGGCAATATAAGATAGTCATCAATCTCATTATTGGGGGAGGGCATGTATCAAGCACTCTTAATTTCTGAGCCAGTTTTCCAGGCCTTCTTATTGGCTCTTCATAAACTTCTGAGCCAAATAATGAAGGTTTGGACTCAAAGACACCAGAGTTGAAAATTACCAGACTGACACTCACATATAGCAAAATTAGAAGCCAAAAGATCTTCATTAACTAACTGGCAACTCAGACATCCACTTGTACAGATCAACAAATTCCTCTTGTGGGGATAAAGATGCCATGGCTAGACCCAGGATGCAGGCCTCCAATAACACACACGCCACTAATTAAGGACTCAGGATCCATATCCTCCCTTACAGTTTCATGGAGATTAGAGTCACCCACTATCCATTATTATTAAAACAGAGATAGATGTAACTTAGTCCAGACCTCACAAATCAAAATGTCCAGAGTAGCCAGGCAGAGGGGGTACATGCCTTTGATCCCAGCACTTAGGAGGCAGAGGCAAGTTGATCTCTGTGAGTTCGAGGACATCCTGGTCTCAGAGCTAGTTCCAGGACAGCTATGTCTATTCCACAGAGAAACCCTGTCTCAAAAAACAAAACAATAACATCCAGAATTACAGAGTGGTAGCCAAAAAAAAATCAGGGGATTCCTAATTGGAAGACTATCTTAAAAGCCCAAGAGCAGTAACCCAGGAGGTGACCAGTACAGGATAGCCTCTCTGTTTCTGGCACAGGCTCCCAGGGAACACATTACTGGGGAAGGGAAGGTATTTCCTAAAGGCATTAGACAAATCCTCAAACACAAGATACCTCAGGTTCCTTGGAGTAGATATACCCCCTCACATTGGTGGACTAGAAAGACAACACAAAGAGCCAGGGCCACACCACTACCCCAAGCATAGGAAAATAGTGATGTGGGACCTCCTGGCCAGCCTCAGGACCAACAGAGGGAAAGAGGTCAAGCAGCTGTGGATGTGGCTAAAAAGAACCTCAGAATATAGGGTTCACTTGGCTTTGCTTGTCCTGCTGATACGGTCCTATCACATAATCAACAGTTCTTGCTTGAGAGTCACTCTGAGACACCAGCTTGAGTGATCAGAGAATCAAGGCAGAGCAGCCAACTCAACTGAACATTTTCTAAATGTAGAGATTTATGTTTGAAAGAGGAAAACACATGGAAAATTGGGAGTGAAGATCTAGGCTCGTGCTTGCTTCGGCAGCATATACCAAAAAACTGGAACGACACAGAGAAGATTAGCATGGCCCCTGAGCAAGAATGACATGCAAATTCATTCAACGTTCCATACTTTTGAATGATGACTACTTTAAATGCCATCCTAGAGCCTTCTTCATCCGGTAGCTGATGGAAGCAGAAGCAGAGATCCACGGTTAAGCACTGAGCTGAACTCCTGGAATCCAGTTGTAGAGAGGGAGGAGTGATTAGCAAAGAGGTCAAGACCATGCTGGGGAAACTCACAGAAACAGCTGACCTGAGCAAGTGGGAGCTTACAGACCCCAGTCTGACAGCTGGGGAACCAACATAGGACCAAACCAGGCTTCCCGAACGTGGGTGCCAGCTAGGAGGCCTGGGCAATCTATGGGGACTCTGGCAGTGGACAAACGTACTTCGGGAGCCCATTCCCCACTGAGGGATATTCTCTTAGGCTAGATACACTGGGGACTCTAGACCCTGCCACAAATGACTTGACAGACTTTGATGATCTCTCATGGAAGGCCTCACCCCCTCCCTGGGGAGTCGATGGGGGATGTGATGGGGAAGGTGTGGAGGGGGTAATGGGAGGATGGGAGAAGAGGGAACTGGGATTGAAATGTAAAATAAGATTATTTCTAATTAAAATAAAATTTATTAATTTAAATAAAAATTTATTGGGGTATTAGTGGAGGGGAGAAGAGGGCTGTTAGTGATAAGAGGGGTGTGGGTAGAACATAGGTCAGTCCCATGAAGCTGGGAGGACCCCTCAATGAGGGTAAGGATGTAGTCAGCAGGGGACCACCAGCATCAGTGAGTTAAGCACTTGTTGCAAGCTAGAGTTTGAGCAATGCTGTGTATGCAATCTCTCCTTTACACCTTATCAACAGTAACCCTGGGGCACAGATCTCTTCATTTCCTTGTTAATGAATTCATCTAAGACAGAGGCAGAGCTAGAATTAGCATCCAGGTCTCTATACTGTCAAGGCCCTTCCTTTTGCATGTAGCTCAAGGCCTTGGATACATTTTCCTAGGCCCTTCCCTAGAGCTCCTTTATATGCACTGGGGTTCATTCAATAGGCTGATGTGACCAAAATTGTTCTCATGTATTAGAGCTAACTTCAAGGCTTTGTCTAAAAAGCTCTAACTTTTAGCTCCCTCCTGCTTCTGCTTTTCAGCCTTTCTCCTCCAGACCCCACCCACTTGACGGGACCTTGGAATTTCCTTTGTTCCTGGCACCTGCAGGGTACTGTGTGCTTGGTCATAACTCAGTGTTACTGAACTTCTCCAGAGACTCAGAGTTGCTCAAGAGTATGAGAAGAAACTTTCCCTGCTTTTACCCATGAAATAAAGCACTTGGGAAAACTGGGGACCTGGCCACAGACTCTGATTTTGAACATCATCTGACCCCATATGAAAACCATCTTTAATATTTACTTTCTATTTCCCAACTAAGCTAATTCATAAGAGCCACCATTACCATCAAAAATTCTACTCTGGAGGCAGAAGAGAGAGCTCACTGGTTGAGAGCATGTGCTGCACTTGCAGAGGGCCTGAGTTTGGGTCCTAACACACAAGTCAGCCTGCGTATCACCTCCTATTAACTCCAGTTCTAAGGGATCCAACAGGCTCTTCTGGGCTTCTGCAAGTGACATGCTCTTTTTCTTTCCCTGACACGGAGTACATCATAAAATCAGCAACTACAAAATTGAGTGGGACAAAACACACAGCAATGTATGTGCAATACATTTTAAAGATCCATGATGGGGGATGTCCTTCTGTACATATGTTTCCCTTACTGGTTGATGAATAAAAGCACTGTTTATCTGATAGCCAGTAGAGGTAGGAAGATAGGCGGGACTAGGAGATGAGGAGAATTCTGGGAAAGGCAGGCAGAAAGACGCCATGCAGCCGCTAAAGGAATAACAGGTCTGGGCATTCTCAGGTAAGCCAAGATCACATGGAAATATATAGATTTATAGAAATGGGTTAATAATTAAGACAGAGCTAGCCAATAAGAAACCCTAGATATTAGCAAACAGTTTTATAATCAAGATAGTGTCTCTGTGTGTTTATCTGGGGCTCAAAGGCGGCAGGACCTGGCAGAACAAGAAACTCCAGCAACAGATGCACAAATCTTAATCCTTCAAAACTCTAATCCAGCACAGCTATGGACAGGAGAAAAACAAAATACAGAGAGCAAATGAAAGGGAGTTTTGTATGTTATTGTATATAATGCAATATTTAATGTGTATCTTGAAAAGAGACAACTTTGTTGACAAGAATAACCATCACATATATCACTGAATAGGTGAGAAGTTACCTTCCCTGTCTCCAAGTGGCAGTGACCACAGCCCTTACCCAGCTGTCCAAAGTCCCCACTTGGGTTTCAGCACACACATACTTCTGTCTCCTTTGCTTCTGAATCTATCCCACATTAAGCCAACACGGCTGCTAAAACCTTCAGACGTCAAGGACAACATGTTCTTTCTCCTGGAAATAGTTCTAATAATGATACCTAGACTTATAAAAACATGTTCCTTACGGGAATTGGATAGTCACATGCTTATTTCTGGACATCAAAGATGTTCATTTTAGACACTCGTGAACTCCTCTTCCTGCTACTGTGATCATCGGTCTACTTCGTGCCTTCTCACCTTGAGCAAGCACACGGCTGTATGCAAGTATCCTGGGGTCCGGGTGTATTCTTGACAGCCCTGTCTACTCTAGGACTGGTTAGAAAGTCAAATCTGTCCCCAAGAAGAAAAGGACATTTTCTGAGGCACCTGAAGCTACTGCTACTGCACAAAGAGTACAAAGAAAAAGAAAAAGTCACAGAAAGCATCCCAGGAGGATTAAAATGGACATGCTTAGTGGGAGGGGACATACCTTAAGGTAACAGTTCCTATCCTTCATATACCCCAATTAAAAAAAAAAAGAAAGAAAGTCAAATCTGAATACAGCAGGAACTCACTTTCACACACAATTCCTTTGTGTAACAATGAGTTGGTAGCAACAATGCCTAAGTGTACTCTCCAACAGTGGTACTATACAAATGGTAAACTTACAAGACTTTGGTGTTTGCGTGATTTTCTGTATTTTCCATTGTTTCCGTTACTATTGTTACTACTGCTGCCGATGTCATTGTTAAGAAAATGCCTCTGAGGTTCCTTTTTCTCTTGTCATTAAGCATTGTCAGATGAAAGTGCTAATGATGTATTGAATGGCCAAGGGTGGATTTCTTAAAGGAAGAGGAGGCTGAGGGCGCAGGGAGGGCAAAAGATGCCAACCGGGTTTCCTTCCCCTAATGATCATGCATGTTCTTCCATCAGTCCAAGGATTTGGTGTGGGACTCTGTTCTACAAGACAGGGAGGGGGAATTACTTTCATCTGTGTCAGCAAGAATGGATTCTTAGATTACTGTCCACAGCCAAAGCACTGAGCATTTTCGATGTGAAAACCAAAAGGGTTTTAAAAATCACCAGAACCAATTCTTTATATTAGAAGAGGGGTGGACACCTTTACTCCCAGAACTTGAGGGGTGGAGGCAGGAAGATCACACCTTCAAGGGCATTCTCAGCTATACAGTAACTTTGGGACTAACCATGGCTAATGCGACTGTATGAATCAACCAATAAACAAACAGAATAAAAAGGACCAAGAATTTCAGGGCATGAGGAAGGTCACTTGTAAGACTATGAATTTTGCCGGCGTTGGTGGCGCAAGCCTTTGATTCCAGCACTTGAGAGGCAGAGGCAGATAGATCTTTGTGAGTTCGAGGCCAGTCTGGTCTACAGAGTGAGTTCCAGGACAGCCTCCAAGACAATACAGAGAGACCCTGCCTCGAAAAAAACCAAAAACAAAAGACTATGAATTTTTTTAGTATTTTATTTATTTTAATTTTATTTTATGTACATTGGTGTTTTGCCTGCATGAAGGTATTGGGTTCCGTGGACCTGGAGTTACAGACAATTGTGGGTCACCATGTGAGTGCTGGGAACTGAACCCAGGTCCTTTGAAAGAACAATCAAGTGCTCTTAACCACTGAGCCATCTCTCCAGCCCCGACCGTGAATTTCTGAATCCAGATGTTCTTTTCATCTCACTGACTGTTCCATGTTCATAGGAGAGGAAGGAAGTGGGAAAGGCAGTGAGTGGATGGGGCCTTGTTGAATGCAACACAAGCTCAGAGAACCAAGTGTGCAGCAGAGAGTCCTGACACTCATCAGCAAGATCAGTATTCGCTGTTTCTACTTCATCCCTGCCCTTCCCACACAACACAAGACGACCCCCTCCTCCCCCACCCAGTAGCTCACTAATGAGGAAGAGCCTGTGGGAATGTGCAGAGCTCCTGCCCTGGGACAGTCCATGCAGGGGGATGACATCCTTTGTATTAACTAGAAAGCTCTGTACTTAACTGTCCTTTCTCCTTCAAGCAGAACTCATTAGGAACTCTGCTCACTTCTATTTAAAAATTTGTAAAATAAAAACCAATTAGCTACACACACACACACACACACACACACACACACACACACAGTCTCAAAACAAAAGATAAAAGGATTTATTCCCCAAGGAAAAGTAGCTGCCAAGAAAACTTCCTCTCTCCTCAAGACAACAAAGTGTTCAGCTTTTCCTTTCATCTGAAGGATCACAAACACAGAAACAGCAAAAGCCATCAAAAGCCATTATTCTTGCCCGGGATCCTCTAAAAACCAGGGATGGGCAGATAAAGAAGCCAGTGAGCTGCCAGTGTAACCAGCAGCCTAATTAGTAGCAAAGCTGCTGAGAAACAGCTCCTGTGTATACAGAGGAGGTCTTTAATGGCACTAAAGGTTTCATTCTGTCATAAATTTTAATACAATATTTTAAATGCCGGCGAGTTAATCACTCCCCAAAGTAAATTTACTTAGCTGAGAAAGAACTTCCCACTCTCATTAGTATTCTCTGACATTCATAAAATCCCCCCTTTTGTCATAGCTGAGGGAATATGAGACGGGCATGGGTGTTAGCAATAGAGATCAGTCAAAGGGATGCATATTCATGAAGTTGCTCTAAACTGATTAATGGTTCTTGTCTTGGCCCTGGTCCCCAGGGGAGTG